GCCAGCCGGGCTCCCCGCCAGCCGCAGTGCCCTGGCCTTTCCGCTCCACAGTGAATCAGGGACCCCCATCACCCGGGGCTCTGAACAGCCCCGTGCTCAGGGGTCTGGAGCACAGCGATGGTCCTGCTGCTTCAGCCACAACAAAAGGGGGATTCACTTAAGTGCTAACACCCCCCCCCACACACACACACACACACACGCTGTTCTGTGTAATTCCTCTGAGGCAGGGCTCTGGCCTGTTCCGCCGCACCGGGAAGCAGGGGAGGACTAAAAGGCAGTGTTAGCCTGAGACCCGGGCCAGCTTTCCTGCTTCAAATGGCCACACCGCCCAAATGGCCAGTTCCGGCCTCTGCTCGCCCTGGACCCAGAGACAGGCACCCACGTGCATTGCTCTAACAGGGAGTCAGCCTTGGGAACCCAAAGGGCTGCTCCGCTATGCAGGTGGAGCATGGAGGTTGTCATGGTTACATTGGGCTTTCAGGCAGGAGGCCTAATGGCTAGTGCCCTGGTCTGGGACTCAGGAGAACTGGGGTCTATTCCTGGCTCTGCCACTGAGCTGCTGGCTGGCCTTGGGTGAGTCACTTCACCTCCCTCAGTTTCTCTGCTTATTGAATGGGGAGAAAGATACTGGCCTCCTTTGTAATATACATTAACATCAGCACGTGATTGGGGATAGAGATTATCACTATTCTTTCATGGACACGCTGGAAGCCTTGCCCATCCTTTTACCCTCTCTGCAGATGAAGGCCAGACATTTGAGAAGTGGCTAAAATGCCTCTGTGCAGGGCAAGGTTCCCTCTAACCTTTTCCACTCCTGTGTGGAATAATTTTATGATGTGAACCAAGGCATGTGCGGATGTGCACCACCAGTAGAAACACAAACCAAGTGGTGGGGACTCTGCCAATCAGCTCGGCAGCATTGGGATCTCTCCTGAACAGCTGCACAAGCGCCCGGCTTCCAGGGAATGCTGGTGTAGGGGTGTCCAGCCTGGGACTCCTTGGCTTTGATTGGCCAGAGGTGCTGAGCCCTTGCTGCCCTCATTGGCCTCAGCCAGGGGCAGGTGTGCTCAGCCAGGTGTCTCACAATGCCGCAGCACCTGCTGTGCTCAGCGTGTGCAATTTGTGTCACGCTTACCGAGGCGGCTTCTGTCTCCGTGTGCCATTCTGCAACGCTTCTGCCGGACCTCAGTGCCCCGCTGCCCTCCCATGGCAACCCAATCGCCAATGACGGGTTTTCCTGAGGGCACAGTCCCCTCCCCACCACACACACACATCACCTCTTTCCAGGAGCTACTAAGGCACTGGAAAACTCTGGTGTTTGGGGCGAGAACTTAGCTGTGAGCTGGGAGGAGCACTGTATCTAACTCCTACATAAAAGAAAGAACACGAAGTAAACATTAGAACCACTCAGCTCTAGGGCTAACATGTTCTGACATCTTAAGGGACACTGGTTGCTCTTAAAATTGCAATGTACCCTCTTATTATTGTCCTAGCTCTGCAGAGAGACAGTCAGGAGGGGAGTGGGGTCGAGTGGGTTATGGCAGGGAGCGGACAGAGCAAGGCTCAATGTAGGAAATTCAGAAGAGCCAGACTGGGTCGGACCAAAGGTCCATGTAGCCCAGGATCCTGTCTGCCCACAGTGGCCAATGCCAGGTACCCCAGAGGAAATGAACAGGCCACCAGCAAGTGATCCATTCCTATTGTCCACTCCCAGCTCCTGGCAAGCAGAGGCCAGGGACACTATAGGGGAAACTCCCTGGGCTGCAACGCCCCCGTCAGCAATTCTTATTGAACTTTTCTTTGTGTGTTTTGGGCTGCTGGGTCACAAGTGCCGTGCGATTCTGCTACCCCGCACTGGCACTTGCTCCCTTGGCACCTGCTCCTGGGGTTTGCTTGCAGCCTGCTAACTGTTTGTACTGCTACTTACTTCTCCTAGCCCAGCGGAGCCAGCTGGCGCTCGGTGGCACCTCCCCTGTCACTCGTGGTGGTCCATGAGAAAGCAAGACTCCAGCCGGACTTTCCCTTCGCAGTGCTGGCAGCTAAAGAAAATGTGTTTTCACGTGTTAACCTGACTGCCTTCGAGCTGGAGTCATAAGCAGGCAATTCCTGCGGCCTCGGTCCATCTCGTACCGCCCCTGACGACAGTGCAGTATTGTGCTGGGTGCACATTCCACAAGGCGCTGTCCAGCCTAATTTCAAACGCCTCAGGTAACGGGTCTCCCCCACTTCCCTGCAGACACTAATCGGAAGGCCCGTTGGAGCTCATCGCTGGGGAGTTCCCCCCGAAGTCCAGCCTGGTCTTCTGTTGTCCCTGTTTGCAAGCGCAGTAGGAGACAGACTTGGCACCGTTTTAGTGCAGGACGGACAGAGGTTGAAGATGTGCATTCAGCACAAACAGTGCGGTTGTCCAATTCCTGCCCTCCTCCACAGCGCCTCGGTCCCACTCACAGAAACCAGCTCTCCGGGTGCATTCGCAATCTATTCTTCCCTCTCAACCACTCACAAACGAAACTAAAAGAAACCCAGCGTCCCGCAATGTGCAGAAGCTCAAAGAACTAAGAAATCAGCGAAGGATTTGAATACCAGAGAAATGAGGTGTAAATCCTTCTTCTCTGATGACACCGCCCTTTATTTGTATGCATTACAACCACCAATAACGGCTTAAGGGTTTCTCTTTCTCCAAACAGCCGCATCTCTGTACACAAAAAAGTTATGGCCATCCCCCGCCAATGCAAGCATAACTCAGAGGGTGTCACAGAGACGGAGGGAGCAGCCCAGAACTTGTGAGCTACACTCGAGAATTAGCCACGGCTCTTCTGCCTGCATCCATCAGCGTGAAACGCGGCTCCATCAGAGGAGTTTGAGGCAAATAAATGGCAGAAAGCTTATCAGCATGACAATAAACAGCAATGTTTTATGGAGCAGCGTGCACATTCAATGTGTCTCACCGCCTGTCATAGAATTAATAATCTGGTTACAGAATGATCGAGGGGGTAAATAATCAGGTTTTTTTTTTAAAATGAACACAGTGAATAATTGCTCCTGGGAAAGAGATGCTCGGCCAAAACGGATTCCCATTCCGTCCGAGCTGTCACCCCAAAGGACCCCAAAGTGCAGGCGCAGGTGCAGGGAGGGCCGCACGGAGGGGAAAGTGGATCGAAGACGGCGAGGCAAGCATCGGGGGATCTCTGGCCTGGAGCACAGGCAGGGTCCAGAGTCCCAGTTCTCAGAGGCACGTGTAGAGAGCTGGGGAGGGTGTTGTTAGCTGGCTGACTGTCATCTTCAGAGCGTCCAGAGCCTGTCCATGACAGAGCCCCCCTCGGGATTCGGATAACAGCGGGGCTGTCGCCTGGCGTGCACCCAGCTGCTTACGACTCCCTCCCAGGACTGACCAGAATGGAGCACGTCATCCCCGGGCAGAGTGAGAGACTGATAAGGGGACAGGCGCTGCACCGTGGGGGCTCCAGGATTTAGTGCCCACCATCAGCCAGCTCCCCCTCAGGCCTCTCAGCTGCTGGTGGCCCTGCTGACCAGCTCCTGGCACCCTGCTCTCCCAGCGTGCTGAGAGCATCAGACGCGTAGGGGAGGAGGCATCAGGTGCACTTGGCGGAGGGGGTCGGGAAGAGATGGGTGGGGGCAGGCCCTAGGGCAGAGGTGGGAGTTGAGTGCCCCATGGCGAGAGGGGAAGTCCACACCTATGAACAGGGACATAAGAGAACGGTGTTAGCCCCAGCCAGCGGGGGAGCATAGACACATCTGCATGTGCTAGCTGCCTGGGGAGGGCCCAATACTTGGTAGCCCACATTCGGCACTTCCTTTTCAGCAAGAAGTACGAATCCGAGTGCTGGCTGGAGATGTTGCTGTCTGCCTCCTAGCTCAATGTCCACTTGCAGCCAGTGTTAATATCTCCCTTGGTCAGTGCAGCAGTAACACCACAGAGCAGTTGCCTGCTGGCAGAATTGAACCTGGTACCTCAGTGTAGGAGCCTAGCGCACGGATGCAAAGCCAGCTGGCTGTCAGCTCAGGCTGCGCTGCACACTTGTTAGTCTCCCGGTTAGTGCTCTCGGTGTCACTAGCCAGGGCAGTGCCCCACCCCAGGCGGTGTGTGGGTTACACCACCCATGACAGCCACAGGGCCCTAGGTAGGAGCCGGTGTTTCTGCCCACTTCCTGCCCAAGCGTGACCTCGGCCTGACAAAACACTTCTCTTGGCAGGGTTCCAGCTCAGGCATCATACATGTCAGACGCATTCGTTTTCGTGTGACGAAGCAGTGTTGGCCTCAGCCTTCCCGTCGGGAGAGCACCTGAGGGGCGGTATGCCCGTGAGAGCGGGGATCTCTCACAGCTGTGTGGCAGCGGGGTCCCTCCTTCGCGCAGCTGTCTTGCTGTGTTCTCAACCACACATCCACTGTTTCTACCCTCCCTCCCTCCAACAGCCTCTGGGGGTCCAGCCGGGGCTTCCAATCGCAGAACACTAGAACTGGAAGGGGCCTCGAGAGCTTCCTTGGGGGAAGCTGCCGTCTGGCATCTGAACGCGCCAGCGATAGACACTCCCACGAGCTGCCCATGCCACTGACTCCAGGAAGGAAGCGTTTGGAAGCAGCCCTGAGCGAGCTGCGTTACCTGCTCATTACCCTGACGACGGGAAGCCACATGCATCGCGGACGGCCTCCTCGTGCCCTTCCGCAGCAGTTGGATCCGGCCCAGAGCAAAGGCCTCACAAAGCAGACCCTCGGAAACAGACTCTTCTTTTTGTTTTCCCAAAAATGAAAAGGCCCCGTGCAGAGATTAAAATGAATTTAATATTTCACAGTCTGGTATGTACATCGCAGCCGAGGCGGGGATTACAGCCCCGTGACAAAAACGTTCCCATAACAGCTCAGGCAGGTCGTACCGCTGTCGTCTGGACGCCGGCGGCTGCCAAACCCACCGGAGCCGGGCTGTGTCTGAAACGGGCTCTTTGCCTGGCTCTGCCCACACCAGGCTCTCCCGCTAGTCCTGGAAGCCACGTAATCTCCACAGCAGCCCTGGCGTCAGCCGTAGGGTCCCTTTGCATTGTGGGTGACCAACGAGCACACCGGTATTTTCACTGCCAAGGGTTAAATCCAGGGGCCTTCCTGAGTCAATAGGACATAATGGTACCAAAGTCTGGGGGTGCCACGCCACTAGGGTGGGGTCTGATCGACTTCTAAGGGAAGCAGGGCAGGGAGGAGGCAAAGGGGGCAGCTGGAGTGCTGGGCCCTTTAAATCGTCCAAGCGCCGCGTGGCACGCTCTGGACAGCTCTAAGTGCTGCCTGGGGCAGAGCATGGCGCGGTGCGCTCTGCATGGCGCTGGGGGCTGGCTGCCCAGCCTTGCCCCTTCTGCCCAAGGCCCTGCCCACCCTAGGCCATGCCCCTTCCAGGAGCTGAGAGCCACCCTTACTCGACCATGCCCAGGGGGCCAACAATTCTGTCTGAATTAAGTTGGTTCTAACTACTCCTTTCCCCTGCATCAGGCTTCGGTGCCTATTGGAGCTGAGACTTTCACGGGGTGGGAGGGAGGGTTGAGAACCATTGCAAGTCTCCTTTGGGAGCCCAAAGCCCAGTCCTGCTCGCCTGACTTCAGTGGCAGGTTCCCCCACGGTCTTCTTGGGGCGGGGGATTAGTGCCCCGGACCACAGGGGTTTTCCTGGCAGTGTTTGCGGCAGGGAGAAGGGGGCTAGATGGGGCTCCCTCCCCCGGTATATTGTAGCAAATTGGGAAGAATAGCTTGCCCTGGAAAGATCTCTGCGCTTATGGTAGGTTTTAATCTCTTGACTTAACAGAGCCAAGCTGACTCAATCTGTGCACCAGGCCCAAGAAAGCCAACAGGGAGAAGCAGTTTCCACACACACATACCCTATTGTGACGTGCATTTGCAACCCTGAATAGTAATTTGGCTCCTCTGACTTGGATCCCAGAGATCGGAAACAAACCGCCTGGCCAGTGCAAGGAACGGGCAAGGAAAAGGCAGCCTAGCTTCGCTCCACAAGGGCACCGGCGCACGCCAGGGAGTCTCCTGCAACGCGCCAGCTGTTTCACTCTGCACAGTGGGCCAGGTTCCGAGCCCCTGCACGCCACGACAGACGGAGCAACTCCACAGACTTCAGTGGAGCTACCTGAGCTTGGCGCCCATGGGAGACAGATCGGAATCTGGCCCGTCGGCAGAGACTTCTCCTGGGAACCTTTATTCATTCCAAACCAGCAAAACAAAGGCGGGGAAGGTTTTGTATAGACCTTGAGTTCGCAAGTCCTGGCAGTGACACCCACTCGAGACCTCGCGGGAAGGGGGAGGGACGGGTTTCATGGGAATTATTTTCTCCTCTTTGAATATGCGGCAGGAAAAAAAAAGGATGCCGGATTTTCTCTTTGCAAATTCAGTGTGACTCAAGAATTTCTTGGCGTGCACCTCCCTGACGCAATGGGAACAAGCGGAGGGAGAGGGAGTCCTTACAGCTGTGCTCAGAACCCATCCCCGCAGCCTCACTCCCGGTCGCTCTGGCACCACAATCCTCGCACGGCGCCGTGGCTGGCGTGGTGTTCACTCCCAGGACTCCGGGAGTGCAGCAACCACTCCCGCTGCAGTCCCAGCGCTGCCCCAGGAAGGAGGCAGCCCAAGTCGGCTGTCAGATGCCCAGCCGTCAGAACCATAAAGTGCTCAGAGGGGCAGCCAGCCTGTCCCACCGCTGCTGCAGCCCTGCCACCGCCCCAGCTCCGCAGAACCAGACAGGACCGTCCCGCAGCAGAGCGCCAGTGATCCTGTGCCATTTCGCGAGGCGCCGGGCAGAGGAACCCTCCGGCCAGAGCTCCACCGCGGCTATCGGGTGACCTGTGAACAGAGAAGCACACGTCAGACCACAGGCGGTGGAGGCAGAGCAGGGTGTGTTTCTTCTAACAGAGGGGAACACATTGCCACACCGCCCTATGCCCAGTGGAGAACACGGAGCAGGCAAAACAGTACATCACTGCTGCCTGTCTGCAGACCCACTGCCGGGGGCAAGAGGGGAAAGGGGGCAGCTGCCCCAGGGCCTGACAATTCACAGGCTCTCAGGGCTCCCAGCCAGAGCATGGCACTGCGCACCCCAGGCGGCTCTGAGGGCGGTGGGGGACAGGAGACGCGCCATGCTCTGGGCAGCAGGGAGGACTGGCTGAACCCTCCCACAGCCCACAGCCAACACTCTGTGGCAGGAGTGTTGTCTAGTGGTCAAAGCAGGGGCTGGAGGCTTAAGATTCCTGAGTTCTCTTTCCTGCTTTAACCTGCTGGCCTCAGGTGAGTCACTCCCCCTCTGCGTGCCTCAGTTCCCCAGGGGTAACCCGGAGTAACAGCCCGACTGCACGAAGCCCGGTCAGTTCCCGTCGGGGCAAAGGGAATGCCAATCTAAATGCAACTCTTGCATCATGCAGTCTAGGAAAGGTGTAACTTGCACAGAGCCCTCCACTGGGCGGTAGCTGTGTGAGTGAGTGTCAGCACAGATGTCTATTTCAGAGAGAGAAAAATTAGTTAAAAAAAACAACAACTCTGGGGGAAGGATCTACAAACCAGGCAGGTCCTGATAGCCTTAGATCCCCATGCATGCTCTTCTGCAACACTGCGTGTGTTGTGTACTGTAAACTCTCCACGAAAACATAATGAAAATGGTCTCCCAGCCTTTTCAATGTTGGTTTCTACGGGTGGCTGTGGATTGTTTTACTGCTTTCTGACGCTTGTACCCTATTTACCCATTACAATGTCCTTTCAGACTGATTTCAATAGCAGGGCTAGAGATTTCTCTCAAGGCACCCATCAGAGGGGCAGAAGCGTTTGAAATATTGCTATTTAAATTCCGTCCCTCGCCACTTGTGCGTGCAAGCACCAGGCACGTTCGGCAGAAAAAAGTCAGCAAATCCATTGAAGAGTGGCAGGAGGATCAGACTGGAAGCATTAAAAAACCAAAGCAAAACAGGATAATTTGTGCACAGCACAGACCCACAGCTAAGGAGAAGAAATGTGCTTATTACTTCACTACCCCGCTGCTAATAATGCTGCAGATAAATCAAAGCATTTAAAAAAATGGAGAGAACAGAGCAGGTTTAAATAGGAATTACTAGAGAACTTTCTGGGTGTCTGGCTGATGAGTCTTGCCCACATGCTTAGGGTTCAGCTGATCGCCATATTCGGGGTCGGGAAGGAATTTTCCTCCAGGGTAGATTGGCAGAGGCCCTGGAGGTTTTTCGCCTTCCTCTGTAGCATGGGGTACAGATCACAGCTGGAGGATTCTCTGCATCTTGGTATTTGAAGGCTTCAATATCTGAGATATAGGTGAGAGGATTATTCTGGGAGGGGTGGGTGAGATTCTGTGGCCTGCACTGTGCAGGGGGTCAGACTAGATGATCATAATGGTCCCTTCTGACCTTAAAGTCTATGAGTCTATGAGTTTACCAGTAGAACTGTTCAGAAATTTTCCATCAAAAGAATTTTTGATGAAAACTGCCCTTTTGTCTAAATCAGAATGTTTCCAAATATGTGTTGATTTTGACAAAATTTTATTTTAAAAAACCCCCAAATGCTTCATTTTGACAATGTCAAAATGTCCCATTTAAGCACTATCAAAACGAAAAGGTCTGATTTTTTTCATTTTGAAATGACATTCATAATGAAGGTCACTGTGGTTACATAATAAACATTTTAAAAGTTTTTAAAAGATAACCCCCACCAAATAAAAGTTTCTATTTCCCCCCAAACCAAATGGTTTAATCAGCCAGTAAAGAATTTGTTTTAATTTCGTTTCACAACACATTTTGAAAGATATTGTTTGCTTCTCTTTGTGAATGAAAATATTTTTGAAATTGTGGAATTCCCAGCAAAACGGAAAATTCCGTTTCCATCCAGCTCTAGATACCTGTGGAGCCTACTGGCTTGAAGTGACTCAGCCGAGTACTGGAAATGCCTGAACAGCCAAACAACTCAGAGAGATAAGATGGTGAGGCAATTGGTGCCTTTTGTTGGACCCACTTCTGCAGGTGAGAGAGCCAAGCTTTCAAATTTACACTGAGCTCTTCTTCAGGTCAAGTCAGGAATTCCTTTCTCCATGCTGGCCAATTCTCACCTTCCCCCACCTCTCCCTCCTATGGTTCTGCCTCTTGCATCTTTGAGCAGTATTCCCCCAAAGGGTGGCAACATATTTTCAGAGCTGCCAACTCCAGCAATTGTTTCAGGAGTCTCAAGATATGTAATGTTTTCCTTAGCACCCCAGTCACATGATGATGAGAAAATCGTAGCTTTCATCTATTTACAAAAGAAAAACAAGTTGCTAGCTTTCCTGGTTGCAGAGAAAAGCTGGAAAGCACATCCCTTTAAATGTTCAGAAACCAGATGGGAAATAAAAATTACCCAACGTTTATTCGTTTTTCAATTTTATACTTTTTAAATTGATGCCGGGTTTTTTGGGAATCTGTCTCCTAACTTTTGACCACTCAGTGTGAATGACCCTGTATTTTGCGGGGGTCAGTGGTAGAGTTTTAAAAGGCAAACCCCTTCCCTGAAGGGCAAATCATTTGTGACAACGTTCTTCAGGGGACGGATCTCCACTCGTCACACTCAGGGATGAACTGTGCCAATGTCACACTCTCCTCTCGTTTCTCGGCAGTTTGAAATTATTTCCCAGGTGAGTTCCCTGGAGAGCAGCACGTCTGAAGACTGTTTGCCAATGGAAATGGCCAAGCAAGCCTGAACAGACTTGAATGGATGCAAGCGATTCAACAGTTGCAATTCTTCAACAAAGATGGTTGATGCAAATTTCCCCTGCAGATTGCGGATTCACACTCTGTGTTGGCTGCTGCTTCTAGGCTGGATGTGCTGTAATTTGTTATTCATGGGGCATGGTGATGTTGGCAGGGGGGAGGGGGAGTTCCCAGCACTTTAAAACCAGGCCTCGTTAAGCAGTCTCAAGTTGAGCTCTGACTACCGCTGGTTGCCTGGAAAAAGTCAGATCTGGCTCCAGTCTGCAGCTCGTCCAGAGCAGCGTTCCCTGACAGCTGTGTGCTTGGGAGATTCAGGTGACACCCAGCTCACTGGCAGAGCGTTCACAGTGTCCCACAGCTGGCGGGAGGTGTTTCTATTGGTGGTGCACATCCGCACTAGCCTCGGTGCACAGAATCAAATGTATTCCACACATGGGTGGAAAAAATTAAAGGGGACATTGGTCCAGAGGGGAGAGCAGATGAAACCACAGTCCATCTTCGGAGGAATACCATAAAGGGCTTTACCTCCTGGCAGAACATCAATACTGCGGCTGGGGGAGATATCGGATCCTCCAGCCCCTTTCATGGCTGACCTGTCCCTTGCAAGACCTCATGGCAGCACATTAAGACAGCAATGGGGGGGGATTAAATGAGCACTATAAAAGGGGGGGAAGGCTAATGCTTTGGAAACACGTGTGCCATTGCTCACCAGCGTTGGATGCCTGTCCCGGGGAGGCTGCTCTGACATTCGTAAAAACACTTTAGCACGAACGTGCAGTTGGTGGAGGAAAATAATAATAACAACAAATAAATCCCTGCCTCACTTTTTCGGGAGGATAATTTTACAGCAGGGGGTGCAGGGTGAGCAAAGCTAAAGCCTAAAGAATAATTATCCTCCACTGTATGAACAATGATTACAAAATTATGCAACTGATTAACCGTGACACACATGTAATTACTAATGAGTTTGATAAAATTTTAATTATACCTTGTTCTCCGGGGCATTCAGCAAGCCATGAAAATAATAATCGTGTCGCTCTCTGTCACAGCTGAGCGCTCCCGCCGGGGGCAGCATTGCCATCCCAGACAGCCCTCGCCTGACTCATGCTGCCGTGGCAGAAGGCAGGCGGCCAGGAGCGGGCTGCTCCAGAGACCGTCTTGAGGAGTCTCACCCCTCGCGGCAATCCGGGCACGTGACCCCCGGACAACACCCGCCGAAGGAGGCAGAACCAGAACAGACCCAGGGCACTAACATGATGTTCGCCGCCATCACGTTCCTCGCTCGGCTTGTGTGTCACCGCCCCCGCCCTGTGTCTGGGGAACCTGTGTTGGGTCGGGGGCCGCACAAAAGCAAGAAGCAACAAAAAAACCCCGACTGACGTGGTCCCCGACTGAGAAGCAGAAAGACACTCCCCACATTCCCCTCGCACACCAGAGCCGGGGGCAGGCTAGTAGAGTTGGGGGGCTCCCCTACGTTTCCTCCCCACTGCCAGGGAGAACCTGTGGGGAGGCTCAGGCTTTGGCTTGCCTGACTCCAGCCTGCGAGGCTTGGGGCTCCTCCCTGCAGTGGGGAGATGGTGCGGGTGCTCCAGACCCATAGGGGCTGTGGGGCTGGAGCATCAGCGTGGTCCCCCCAATACTAGGGGGAAGCCCCCAGCCTTGGGGGAAGATCCCGGCAAGCCCGGAACTGGACCCGGCCCCTGGGCTTTAGGTTCCCCACCCTGAGATCTCTCCACTGTGTGCTAGGTAGGGCCCGGCCCAACAGGGCCTTATTCGCGGTTGGCACTCAGGCAGGCCCCTCCCCAACACGACAGACACAAACTCTGGGCAAGGCGCCTCTCCTCTCTGCCTGCGCCCGAGAGCCATGGAGGGACCATCCCCGCTGAGCCGGCCGACGGGACGGAAGGGTGGAAACGCCGCAGCCCGGCTCAGCCAAAGCACGTCAGTTCTGTACCTCCTCCCGAGCCCCCCCAGCTCGGACGATGCCCCCGCTCCCGCCACTGCCCACGGCTCAGACCAGCCTGGCCCCAAACCTTGGTCGTCTTGACTTTGTTGCCCGTACTGCAGCTCCATCCCGACAGGTCCGGCAGCACTTTACACTCCTCCCCTTCGAGACACGGCTCCATCTGACACCACCACTTCTGCAGGACTATGGAGGCTGGAAGGAGAAAGGCCGGTGAGGAGCAGAGCACACGCGGGCAGCGGGCCTGCGGCCAGGCGGGGGCACGGCAGGGGAGGAGTCAGGGTTTACTAGTAGGAGCGGCCAGCACGGGATCAGCGAGAGGCTCATGACGGGGCGGAGAATGGCTCTGTGCACAAGATGGAACATTTTCATGGTGTTCCTCAACACTGAACCAGGGCGTTGGGTTTTCTTCCCCCTCCCCACAGCTCCAGTGGCAAAACGGGAGAGAGGGGAGGCAAACCAAGCCAAATACAAAATGAAGGCTGAACATTGCTTCTTTCAAGTCACTCGTGTGAAAAATCAAAAATGCCTCCGGACATTAAAAAAAAAAAAGATTTTTGAAAAATGTGTGCACCATGTTCTAGCATCCGTACTTACTGGTGTCCCACCTATCAAACCACTTTGTGAAACCGGATCAATTTCACCAGACTTGTGTTTAGCAAATGGAAAACAAGTTCCAGCAATGTTGGAATGTCCCATTTCACCGACATCTGAACAAAATATTTCTCCCCGTTTTATTTTTACACGACGTTTCGTGTGAATGTTTGAGATGATAATTTGTGCATACTTATATATGTTGAGCTATGATTTTCTAAGAGGTGCAACGGTACACACACTGTATACAGGACTATCAGGAACTATCATGGGGCATGGCTGCGTCACAGCACAGCCTGCTGGCCAAGTGTGGCACTGCAAGGGCTCCGTGCCTCAGTTTCCCAAACAAACGCAGCCCCCAGAAGGGTAGCAATGGTCCGAACTAAAAAGCCCACAATGCAGAGACCATCCAGCCCCGCTTCTGAGAGCTCAGCGCCAGCTGCGGCCAGGTTGTCAGACGGGCTCAGCCCCACCCCCGAGCTCGTCACAGCACAGCCTGCTGGCCAAGTGTGGCACTGCAAGGGCTCCGTGCCTCAGTTTCCCAAACAAACGCAGCCCCCAGAAGGGTAGCAATGGTCCGAACTAAAAAGCCCACAATGCAGAGACCATCCAGCCCCGCTTCTGAGAGCTCAGCGCCAGCTGCGGCCAGGTTGTCAGACGGGCTCAGCCCCACCCCCGAGCTCATTAGGCAATCTGGCCCCATGGCAATTCAACCCCCCCTCCCCCCCG